CCGTGTTTTTTTTTTTTAAACCCTGACCTTTCAGAGTTTGGTCTCGTGGTCTGGACTGGCCGGCGATGGTCCCTTCTTTGTTCCCGGGGGGGGGGGGGGGGAACTGAAGTTGAAAGAGGGAAAGTCTCCTGCCCCAGGTTACCATAGGACACATTTATATACCTCGTCTGAGGTTGAAATCTAGTGGGAAGAACTGACCATTAATTAGCTCATTGTTACTCAGAGTGCTGTCTTTCAGCTGCTTGTTAGGTCCCCAGGGAGATAAGAACAGACATTGAGACATTTATAGAAATTTGAGAGTAGTTTTATGTCTGTTTCTAAGGTTAAATTTTGTGTTTTTTTTAAAACCAATTCCTTTTTCAAATAATTAATTGTTATTTTGTTAAAAAGTTAGTCCATGGGCGGCGCCTATGGCTCAAAGGAGTAGGGCGCCGGCCCCATATGCTGGAGGCAGCGAGTTCAAACCAAGCCCCGGCCAAAAACTGTAAAAAAAAAAAGTTAGTCCATGATGAAAACCTTTTTAAAAACTGGTCCTTTATGACCGACAGAGGTAGCTCATGCCTGTGATCCTAGCACTCTGGGAGGCCGAGGAGGGTGGATTACTTGAGCTCAGGACTTTGAGACCACCCTGAGCAAAAGTGAGACCTCATCTCCACTAAAAATAGAAAAATTAGCCAGGCATGGTAGCAGATGCCTGTAGTCCCAGCTACTTGTCAGGCTGAGGCAGGAGGATCACTTGAGCCCAGGAGTTTGAGGTTGCTGTGAGCTATGACACCACAGCTCTCTAGCCTGGGCAACAAAGAGACTACTCTGGAAAAAACAAAACAAAACTGGTCCTTCACATGGATAAGTTGAGAAGCTCTGTTGTGGCTGACATAACAGGATTAGTTTACCTATGTTTCTCCAAAACTGTGGGTTGTATAACAGTGGTAGGTAGTACATAAATTAATTTCTAAAATGTAAACTCATGTATTTGTTTTAATGTATGTTCTGAAAGTTATAACTAGCTCATCAAACCCATGGTTTAATACTGAGTTAATTTAGAATAAAATCCTCATTAACAAATACTATAGTGTATACATGTAATATGGTGAATAAATAAAATATAGTTAAATATAATTAAATAAAAACATAGGTGGTATGAGAAGATGACAAAAATTGTGAATGTACTACTAGAATGATTGAAGTATGGGAAACCCTTGTTTATCTTAACTCATTTCTATACATTATTACCTAATTCAAAGCATCATCCTGGGTAAATAAGATCTAGAGATAAGAAAAGAGAAACAGACTGCCTTGGTGGAACAACATGACTCAGGGCCCTAAATATAAGAGAAGTTACCACCCAAAGAGGTCAGGTGTCAAAATAAAATTTGAGGCAGAATAAGAGGCTACTGAAATGTGCTGACCCCAAACAAGTAAGAAATCTAGTGTGAACACATCACTTAACCTCTCTAGGCCTCAGGGTTTTTTCATCATTAAAATGAAGATAGTATGGCTCAGCACCTGTGGCTCAAGCAGCTAAGGTGCCAGCCACATACACCTGAACTGGCAGGTTTGAATCTAGCCTGGGCAGGCCAAATAACAATGATGGCTGCAACAGAAAATAGCCGGGCGTTGTGGCAGGTGCCTGTAGTCCTAGCTACTTGGGAGGTGGAGGCAGGAGAATTAATTGCTTGAGCCCAGAAGTTGGAGGTTGCTATGAGCGGTGATAGCACAGGACTCTACCCAGGGTGACAGCTTGAGGCTCTGTCTCAAAAATAAATAAATAAATAAATAAAAATAAAATAAAATGAAGATAGTAGGTGATTTCAAAAGCTCTTTGCAAAATATCCAAAAGGTGTTAAGTTGAAAAAACAAGCTTCAGAGCAATAAAGGATAATCCCAGGAGCAAAAACAAACTGTATATGCAAAGAACACTTCCAGAAGGACAGCAGAGAAACTTTCAACAGGTTTGCTTCAAAGGTGTGTTGGGGCTGAAGGGGAAGGGTCATCTTGGGGCCCACACCTACCCTCTGTCAGCTTATAGGGAAGGCTCTGGAGTCAGGCTGCCAGGGCATGGGACAGCTCTTCCTCTATTAACCAGCTGACTGGGACAAATGATTTAACCTCTATGCCTCAGTTTCCTTGTCTTTAAGACAGAAATAGTAGCTCATAGGGATGGTGAGGACTAAATGAAGTAATATATATGAAGTCCTGAAAACAGTGCCTGGTCCAGAATAAAAGCTATATACGTGTTAACTGTTATTATCCTAAGCAAAAATACCTCATAATTTAATTATTTCAAGATATTTACAACGTATATAGTATTTTTTTTTTTTTAAGAGACAGGGTCTCTGTCTCCTCGGCTGGAGTACAGTGGCATGATCATAGCTCACTGCAGCCTCAAACGCCTGGGGTCAAGTGATCCTCTTGTCTCAGCCTCCTCAGTAGCTGGGACTACAGGTGCCCACCATCCTGCCTAGCTAATGTTTTAACTTATTGTAAATAAGGGATCTCACAAGGTTGTCCAGGCTGGTCTTAAACTCCTAGGCTCAAGTAATCCTCCTGCCTCAGCCTTCCATAGTGCAAAGATGATAGTACCTGGCTCATGATCTCACTCTGTTGCCTGGGCTGGTCTGTCTCAAACTCCAGGGCTCACATGATCCTCCCCCATCAGCTTCTTGAGTAGCTGGGATTACAGACTTGAGCCACCACAACTGGTTTATACAGTAATTCTGTTTAGCCTTCTTGGAGGCTTTTCTGAGCTCTTCCTCTGCCTTTAATTCTGATGATAAAAGTCTGTGTGCAGTGGTATGAGCCTGCAGTCCCAGCTATTCCAGAGGCTGAAGTGGGAGGATTGTTTGAGTCAAGAAGTTTGAGGCTTTAGGGCACCATGATCATGCCTGTGACTAGCCACTGTACTGAGCTTCAACCTGGGTGACAGAGTGAGACCGCCATCTGAAAAAAATAGGAAGAACAGGCTAGGTGAGGGACCAAACCACACAGTTCCCAACTTTATCTCCTATGGCCCTAACTGGCACATCTGGAATCACATCCCTTCATCCCTTTCACAAGGGCCAGGGCCAGCCCAGGACTCTCAGGTCTGCAGGAAGAGCCTGTGGGTTTGGGGCAGCCACTGTCCCTAGGACCAACCAGGGGTCCTCAAACTTTTTAAACAGGGGGCCAGTTCACCATTGGAGGGCTGGACTGCGGGCCCTGGGATGAGTCTGCTGCTAAGCAGGACAGGCAGTGGCAGCAAAAACACCCGGTGGGCTGGATAAATGTCCTCGACGGGCCACATGTGGCCCGTGGGCCATAGTTTGAGGATGCCTGAGAACAGTTTGTGAGCGTAACAGACATAGGCAGATGCCTACTTCCAGGTCCATATGCTAGATGCTCAGGGTCTCTGCTTAAAGTAACCCTGGAGGAATGAGATCCCAATTTCACAGTAAGGACCTTTCCCTGGAATTCTGGAAATAGTATAGTAGATAGCATAGTAAAGCAGTACCATCGTCCATAATGCAATTTCTGTGAGCTAAACTTACAGAAATTGCATTATGTTTCTAAACATCAGAAACACTTAGGCCAGTAGGACCTGAGGGAACTTTTGGGGTCATGAAAAAGTTCTATGACTTGATTGTGGTGGTCATTACATGACTGTGTATGTTCTTCAAAACTCAGAACTATAAAAGGATGGTTTCACTATACATAAATTATGTCTCAAAGCATCTGTAGCAATGTAGATGGGGAATTATTTTCTAAAAGTTTTGGGCATTTTTGTTGTTGGTGGTGGTGGTAGTGGGTTTTTTCTTGGGGGGGGGGTGCTTGTTGTTGGTTTTGTTTTGTTTCTGTTTTTTTTTCCAGTATTACACTTTGTTTCCCAGGCTAGCATGCTATGGTATCAGCCTAATTTATAGCAACCTCAGACTCCTGGGTTCAAGGGAGCTTCCCTCCTCAGCCTCCCAGAGTGCTAGGTGTGAGCCACCACATACTTTTGTGGGTTTAAAAAAAATACAGCTGACCCTTTTTGCTAAAGACAAATTTTTCCCTTGCACTAAGTTCTAAAAGATGGGAAAGGTAATCTATTCTTGGAGTATATTCTAGTGAATGAAGCCCAGATTCCTGCAGAATCCTTCCAGACTTAAAATTTTCTTCCTGTGTCTAGCCATGTAACCCTAACCTGGCCCTGTTGGTTACAGCCAGGTTGTGGGCTGAATTTTCAGAGTCTTTAATCAGATATTGACTTTTCCTGCCTTAAAAATGAATGTAATTTATTACTGCATCTGCTCCCAAACATCTGGGTCTTAAAAAGTACGATGTGGGGTCTAAAACTTGTGGAAGATTTACAACCTACCACCAGAATCTTCATAACAAGCTTCTATGCCCTACTTGTCCCAGCTGAATGTTAAAGTATATGATTTAAATATGAGAGGTGAATATGAGTTTGTATGGCTTTCTTTCAGGCCAATACAGAGAAACCTACCTTGAATAAGTCAGAGCAGGCCGGGAGAAATGCTCTCCTCTCTGATATCAACAAAGGGAAGAAACTGAAGAAGACAGTCACCAATGACAGAAGTGCACCAATATTGGACAGTAAGTGAAAAAAGCTATTTTCCATGGAGACAAATGGTTTACAGCTTAACAATCAACCTTACCCCTCCTAGAATTAAAAAAAAAAAAATCTTCTCAGTTAAAAACAGCTGCAAAGCTAGCAAAATAAGAGACCGTATCACCATGGTTTTGGCTCGTGTTCCCCTCTAATGCTTCAGGAAGCCAATATAATAATTCTTTGTCCAAGACATACACAGCAGCGATTCTCTGCATTATTCCCAACACTTTTTGGAGATTAACCCATTGCTCCTGACACCACCGATCAGGAGATAGCATGAAATATGGAAAGAGCCCTAGCTCTGGAATTGGAGAATATGGGTTCAAGTCCTGGTACATCCATCGTGTCCTGTTTCCAAGCCTGATTGTCTTCATTTGTAAAGTGGAGATGATAATACCTGCTCTGCTGACCTCCCTAGTTTGTTGTGAGCGTCAAATGAGATAATGCCTGTAGAAGTGTTTTGTTATCTGGAAAATGTAATTCAAGTATAAGCTATGACCATTGAGATCTTAGAGGAAATGAGATCACACCTCTGTCCATCTACCAATGTAAGTCTGAGATATGTTCTGGAACAAGGCAACATATGTATAACTAAACAAGTACCCACAACACAAGGACTACTTACTAATACTTACAATGGGACAAAAAGTATCCATGGTTACTTAATATCATCAGGTCTCGAGACACTCTCTTCACATTCCTAGACCTTTCCACTACCCACCAAATATTCCCAAGATTTGTCCTAGACTATCGCCCTGGGTCTCCAGCTATCTCCCTGGGTAGAGTGCCATGGCATCATAGTTCTCAGCAACCTCAAACTCCTGGGCTTAAGCGATCCTCTTGCTTCAGATTTTCCATTTTTAGTAAAGACAGGGTCTCGCTTTTGCTCAGGCTGGTCTTGAACTCATGAGCTCAAGCAGTCCACTAGCCTAGGCCTCCCAGTGTGCTAGGATTACAGGCATGAGCCACCGCACCCAGCCGTCTTTGTGACTCTTGACCTAGTGTGACCTCTAAGTCAAAATGCCCACAAAACTGATGTGGTTATTGTATAATCTCCCAGTCCTGATGATCAGTGCCACATAATTCTCCTGGGGGGAAGGGGAGCCTAGCACAGTCACTTTTATCTAAGGACCCTTGGTCCAGCAGCCATCTGAGTTGTGGTCCCTGGTATGGGAACAGAGAAGCTGCCACTCTCTAGAACAAAGGCCAGCTCCTCCCTCCACAAGAAGCAGCTCAGGGCTCTGTTGAAGGAGACTGGATAGTCTGGACCTATTCCTGAATCCACTAATGGAAACACATTGTATTCTTCAAAGTCCACTTCTCTCCCCCATTGAATAGAAATGAAATAGTGTTAGTCCTTCTCTGCCCCATTGAATAGGAATAGTGTTAGTCCTTCTCCCTTTCAGGCAGCTCCATTATGTTGTGATATTTAATAATGTGCTTTGCGTGATGGAAACAAGATCCAGTCCATTGCTTGCCCTTGTTGTCCGTGCACTTAACTGGACTCCCATATTGCTATCACAAGCTCTTTGCAAGTGGCAAGTTCATCCATGATTTTGTATCTGTTTGCCTGTGAAACTTCCTTAGGCTCTCTGTCAAAATGTTGACCATGGTGATGTGTGATAGTTTTTGAATCTGGCCCTGTCATACAGTTTAATTACTAATAAATGATCTGGAGCCCATTAGCTGTCCTCAGCATTAGCTTCTGTTAGCTTCTCTGTCTGAAAGATGAACAAATGTTGCAGGTTAAGAACACTATGGATTATGTCTGATAGCGCAGGAGTCCCTTGGAATTCTTAACACCATGTACCCTACATAAGTGCATTGTTCCAAAACGTATTGTGCCTTAATAAATAATGTTTGAAGGACAAGGACAGTATTAATATTTTGGTAAAACTTTTCAATTTTATATAGAAACAATTTGCATACACTTCTGAAAATGGTTATTCTAATTTGACTTAGATTATTTCTTCTAGCAGAGCTACAATAAGCATCACAGAAAGCTCCACACCTAAAAGAGAGGCAGAACTAGATAAATCTAATCCAGAAGAGAAGAAAATACACATGAATAAAATCAGAGCTCAGATTAGAGATTTGAAGAAAATGTTTTAAAATTAAGGATAGTATAATGAAGTTATAGGCTAAAACATCTTAAGATATTAAAGAAATTAATTTTCTAAGAAAAGTATACATTGATCAAAATTCATCAGGAAGCCTCAGTGAGCAGGAAGAAGATGAAAAATTTATCAAATTACTTTCTCTTCAAAAAGCTTTGGAGCCAGATGGTTTTTATTAGTAAATTCTTCCAAATTTTAAGAAAACAACTATTTCAAGTGCTATCTACTTTATTCCCAAACATAGGAAGAGGTGGAAAGCTATCTGGTAGGTGTGATAAGTTGGCATGATCCTAATGTCACACTGAACAGAGGCAGGATACACAAAGGAGGAAGCTGTACATTGTGGCTTTCACCGGGGGGGTGATTTTGTGGCAATGTCTGAAGACCATTTTAGCTGTCACAACTTGGCCGGGTAGGGGCAGGGTGGAGAGAGCTGCTACTGACATCTAGTGGGTAGAGACCAGACTTGCTGCATATATTCTCTGAAGAACAGGACAGCCACCCACAACAAAAAATCATCTGACCCAAAAAGTCAGCACTTCCAAGATGAAAAAACCCTGCCATCAACCTCTTATCATCATAAGTGAGAGAATGCGATGTAAATACCAAAAAATCGAATTCCATTGTATGTTAAAAAAGTAATTCATATCTCCAGATAAAGTCATTCTAAGGTACAGTTAAAAAAAAAAGAAAAACGAGTAATTCACCCAAACCAAGGTTTATCTAGTTTTTAATGTTAGAAAGTCTATTATCTATCCTATCAAGTAAGAAAGACCATAAGTGGTATAATAATATCAGTAGGTCTCAAATAGGCATTTGATAAAATTCTACACTATAAGAAAGTCTCAAGGCTTGGCACCTGTAGCTCAAGCGGCTAGGGTGCCAGCCACACACCCCAGAGGTGGTGGGTTCAAGCCCAGCCCAGGCCTGCCAAACAGCAGTGACAACTACAGCCAAAAAATAGCCAGGCATTGCAGCAGGCATCTGTAGTCCCAGCTACTTGGGAGGCTGAGGCAGGAGAATTGCTGAAGCAGGAAAGAGTTTGAGGTTGCTGTGAGCTGTGACGCCATAGGACCCTAAAGAGGGTGACACAGTGAGACTCTGTCTCAAAAAACAAAAGAAAGTCTGAAAAACCTAACATGGAAGGATTATTCCTAACTGAATATTTAGAAAGGAAGAAACCTATTTGAAACCAACAGTCAATATTGAACTTAGAAACATTAGAGGCATTCTTATTAAATCAAACCTGGTTGCCTTTAGCAACATTAATAGTTTATGTTGTTAGGAAGTTCAGCCATTAAGGTAATTACTTAGATAAAACACACATAAGACACACTTAGAAGAGGCAGATCATATGTCTACTAGAAAACATAAGATTGAATTTAGAAAATCAAAGTGGCTCACTAGATATCAAATAAAATTTCCTGATGCCAATGATAACCAATTACTAAATAATATAACAGGAAGACTAGCCCTTTTACAATTTCAACAAACAGAAATGTATCTAAAGTAATGCTAACAAGAAACATGTATAACCTATCTCATGAGAACTATAAAACTTTACCAGCAACTTCTAGAGGCATGAATAAATGGGGAAAGACAGCACATCTCCAAGTGTGAAGTATTAACACCATAAAAGTGTCAGTTCTCCCACCTTAATTTGTAGAGTTCATATAAAACTTATCAAAAGACTTAACATGGTTTCTGGGAGATAGAACTTCAAAGCATGTTTATATACATGCATACATACATTGTTAAAAGAGGATTTGAAAAAAAAAATTGAGACAGAGTCTCACTCTGTCACCCTGGCTAAAGTGCCATGTCCTCAGCCTCGCTCACAGCAACCTCAAACTCTAGGGTTCAAGCAATCCTCCTGCCTCAGCCTCCCAAGTAGCTGGGTCTACAGAGATACACCACCATGCCTGGCTAATTTTTCTATTTTTTAGTAGAGATGAGGTCTCGCTTTGTCCTGACTTCAAGCAATCCTCTTGCCTCAGCCTCCCAGACTGCTGGGATTATAGGCCTGAGCCACCACTTCCAGCCAATTTTTTTCTTTTTTTATTTTTGAGACAGAGTCTTATGCTGTCACCCTGGGTAGAGTGCTGTGGCGTCACAGCTCACAACAACCTCAAACTCTCGGGCTTAAGCAAGTCCCTCCCAAGTAGCTGGGACTACAGGTGCCCACCACAACGCCTGGCTATTTTTTGGTTGTAGTTGTCATTGTTGTTTGGCGGGCCAGGGCTGGATTTGAACCCACCAGCTCTGATGTATGTGGCTGGTGCCCTAGCTGCTTGAACTACAGGCGCTGAGCCTCTAGCCAGTTTTTTTAAAGAGGCTCTTCTATAGCTATAAAACAAACGTTTTATACAAAACGTTTAAACAAAACAAACGTTTAAACAAAAATTTTATTTAACTCAGTTAATGAAGGAACCAGTATGATGTTGTCAATATCAGCTCAAAGACTATTATGTACCTCACATATATAAACATACAAGAGCAAAATGAATTTATAATTAAGTGCAAAACAGGTGAATAATCAGTTGCATTCCACTGAACACAACTAATGTGCATCTCTTTGGACAAATACCATTTACATTAGGATCAGTTGTCTACATCTTACAGTTATAAAATACCGTGGTGCAAAGACAGTGGGAGATAACTGAGATGGCCAGAGAGGATACTCAGTAATCTTTTCCTTTCATCTTTCTTTTTGTTTGTCTCCTATTTCAAAATCTTTCGTAATTTCCTGCACATAAATGCAAACTAAAATGAAATCTTCCTACCTTCTCAAATTGCAAAGAATTTTCAAATTGTCAAAGCCTACCACTGGCCTTTATGATATTAAAATTTTTATTATTTTTTATTTTATTTATTCATTTATTTTTGAGACAGAGTCTCAAGCTGTTGCCCTGGGTAGAGTGCCGTGGCGTCACAGCTCAGAGCAACCACAAACTCTTGGGCTTAAGTGATTCTCTTGCTTTACCCTCCCAAGTAGCTTGGACTACAGCTGCCTGCCGCGACGCCCGGATATTTTATTGTTGTTTTAGCTGGCCTAGACCAGGTTCAAACCCACCAGCCTCGGCGTATGTGGCCAGTGCCCTACCCACTAAACTACAGGCGCTGCCCGATATTAAAAATTTTAAATCAACCTAGAGGACATCAAATAAATGAGTAGTTGATTATAATACATTCATGTTCTAAAATACAATAACAATCCTTTAAACTAAAGTCTTCAAATATTTAATGACTGGAAATAATAACAATGTTAAGTGAAAAAAGTAGACTAAAAAATTTTTTTACATTTTACATTTTTACAAAGAGTGTAATTATGTTATTTTATTTTCTTTATTATTTCTTGTATTTTTTTTTACTATACTTTTTTTTTTTTTTTTTTACTATTTCCTTACTTCTTACCTTTTATTTCATCTCCCTTAGGACCAGCTTTCTTTATTTTTTTCAGATTTTTACTATACTTTTTTTTTTTTTTTTTACTATTTCCTTCTTACCTTTTATTTCATCTCCCTTAGGACCAGCTTTCTTTATTTTTTTCAGATTATAACTCAGCTTTTTAAAATTTTTTTTATTAAATCATAGCTGTGTACATCAATGCAATCATAGGATACAATGTGCTGGTTTTATATACCATTTGAAATACTTACATCAAACTGGTTTAACGTAGCCTTCACTGCATATTCTTAGTTATTGTGTTAAGACACTTATATTCTACATTTGGTAAATTTAACATGTACCCCTGTACAATGTGCCAGAACCAGCTTTCTTTGAAGATCTTTTTATTTGCCAAAGCTTAGGATATAGAACAAATAGATATTAACCCATATGGCAGCTGGTGAAGGGGTGAGTGGGATGGGGACAAATTGTTCTTTGTTACTATTTCTTCTACCACTGGGCCTAGAATTGCCCTGCAGTGGGAAGAGAGCCCTCCAGTTCTGATTAGGGGGAAGGGAACCCTTAAAATCCGGCATGTGAATGAAGAAATGTCAGTTCTCTAGCGTAGGGCTAGGTTCAGCCACCTCCCTGTTCTATCACTGTTTTATGATTTACTTGGGCCGGAACTGGTGCAGTACTTGGTGGGTGTTTTCTTCTTCCCCCTGTAGAGCCTAAAGGAGCTGGTGCTGGTGGTGGGAGTGGATTTGGCGGAGGAGGTGGCAGCGCTGGTGGTGGCGGCGGCGGCAGCAGCAATTTTGGAGGAGGTGGACCTCCCGGGTTGGGAGGACTATTCCAGTCTGGAATGCCGAAGCTGAGATCCACAGCCAGCAGGGATAATGGTAAGAAGAGTTTCCTTCTCTCAATCACTGAAGACCAAGCAGAGTTTGGTGGTTTGGAGGCTTGGTGTAGCCTCTGTACCCTTTAAAACATTTTACATCATCAGAAACGTTATCACTGTTTCATAAAAGAAACTCTGTTTAGCTTTTTAAATTATTAATCAAAATCAGACACCTTTATAGAGCTATGAAGTAGGTGCCCAGTGTCTGTGGTAGTAACCTATAGTACAATGGAAAGAAAAGGAACAAATGGAACTTGCCCCAGCACTGCTGGGTGACCTGGCAGATTCCACTTTCTTTGAGAGGTAGCCTGACCCAGCTGTCTAGTATACTAAAATACCTGCGAGCTACTTCTCAAACACACTATGGAGTACATCATATGGAATATAATTACAAATTTTAATAAATGTGAAAAGGTGCTTTGCAGGACAGACATTTGGTATTCTAGTAATCTCTGCAAGGAGCCTTGAAAATGAATTCTATAGGATTATCTCTGAAAGTGCTGGTTACAAGAAGTTGAACTTGGTCATGCCTAAATAAAAAAACCTTGCAGAGCACATGAGGCTCTCTCCTGACTACTGCAGAAGCTCAGGAAGTTTTAGTGTGAAACTTTTGGGGGGTAATGTTGAATCATGTTAGAACTTTTTCTCTTAAGCCAGGAGTGATAGCTCACACCTGCAATGCTAGCACATTGGGAGGCTAAGGCTGGTGGAGCACTTGAGCTCAGGAGTTCGAGACCAGCCTGATCAAGAAGAGTAAAGCCCCAGCTCTACTAAAAAAAAA